TTTTACTACCTTCAAAGTAATAATAATAAAAAAGACATCTGTAAACAGGTAGAAGAGCTCAGAGCAGCAGCTGATTCGGAACTCTGACCTGATCCTCATGAGATTATTGTGCTTTTTTGTCCACCTAAACAATCTTTAGTTTCATAACAATGTTGTTTTTAGACTCTCCATGACCCTAGTTTTGCTTTTCCTGTCAAAGATTTGTGTCATAGACTAGAACTTTTTTGTTAGGAAACTAGCTACTGCTCCCATGACCTACAGTGGGGTTTTTTGGGGGGGGGGAGTTTAATTTTAAAAAAAGGATCTTATAGCAATGTAATCACAGTTGTATGTGACAGATCTACAGCCAACATCATACTGAATAGGAGGAAATTGAAAGCGTTTCCTCTAAAATTAGGAACAAGATCCACCCACTCTCACCACTCCTACTAAAGATAGTATCTGAAATGTTAGCCAGAGCAACTAGGCAAAAGAAAAGAAATGAAAGGAGCACAAATAGAAAAGAAAACAAATTATTTATATTTACAGGCAATATGATTCTTTGAAGAACCTAAAAAGTAGGCTGAAGCAGGAGGACCACAAATCTGTGGTAAGCCTGGACAGCTTAGAGAGATCTTGTTTTAAAAGCTTATAAATTTTTAGGCAAACCAGGAGGGGGCCCAGGAAGAGAGAAGCCAGATCGTCTTTCCCATGAGCTGACGATGCACTGTTTGATTGACTTTGCAGGACTCAGGCTGGAAGTCTGAGCATCTGTTAGGAGGATGACAGTATGCAATATGGCAAATGTGGGAGCTTTCCTTCTGTCTTGTTTTGGAAGTCCAACATTGTTCTCACTGTTATGTTTTGTTCCAATTTATTGTTTTGTTTTATTCAATGCTCTATGTTGATTGGTTTTATTCTGTTCTATTTTATTTGATTTTACTATGTCTGAGAAAAATGGACAATGATTGTGAAGATCACAAAATCTATTATGGTAGTCATTGCTGATGATCTGGCGTTCTGTTCTGAAATTCTGTACCACTTTCATTGCTTTGTTTTGATTGGCATTATTCTTTTTGTATTGTTGGGTTTTATTCTCCTTAAAATAAAAAAAAATTTAAATGAAGTTTTATAAACTTTTAAAGGCTTGAGAATGTAGCTCACTGATAAAGTACTCCTGGGTTTAATCCACAATAGCAAACACATGCGTGTGTGTGTGTGCGCACACACACACACACACACAAATCAGAGGACCTTGAAATCTGAGAGACAAATTTAGAAAAAGGGCAAGAAAGTGAAATGAGCAGACACTTCATAGAGGTAGGCTTACAAATGGCCAATAAACATATGAAAAGAATCTTCACCGTCTCTGGCCATTAAATGTAAATTAAAATGATGCTAAGATTCCATCTTACTCCAGATAGGCAGTCATCAAGAAATCCAAAAAATAACAAACGCTAGCAAGGCTGTGGAGAAAAAGGAGTGCTCCTACATTTTTGGTGGGATTGTAAACTAGTACCACCATGATGGAAATCAGCATGTACATTTCTCAAAGATGGGAATTAGAAATCATGTGTGATCCAGCTACCCTCCTTCTAGGTGTCTCCCCCAAAAGCTTAAGGCATCCTACTGCAGTGGTACATGCAAACCAGTGTACAACTCGTAACAGTTAAATCTTGGAAATAGCCTGTATACCCATCAATAGGTGATTGGATAAAGAACATGTGGTATCTTTATATATAATGGAATAGTACTTGAGTATAAAAAGGATAAATTTGAGACATATGTAGGAAAATATAATGTTGAGTAAAATAAACCTGACACACACACTTAAATATGATGTGGTATCTCTCGTTTGAGTAAGGAAAAGTACAAGCAAAGAGAATGATAAATGATGGATAGAAGGAGACAGGGCATGTGCCTCTTGAAAATTGGACTCTTCCAATTTGCAAAGGGGAAATGGAAGAAAGACATGCCTTGTTCAGGAAACTAACAACCTCAATGAATGTAAACACCTCATGTCATAAATATGAGCTAAGGTTAATAATATAAACAAGAATAAATATGGGGAAAGGGAACTTAGAGAAGGAAGCCAGGAGGGAGGGAAAGGGAAGGGGATTTTTTAAAAGATTGTATTATGTACACATGCCTACTTCCCAAAAGATTGTAAACTGCATGTACTGAAAAAATGCACCAATGAAAAATAAATACACAAATAAAAGTTTCACAAAATGAAACAAAAAAATGGCAGAGTATAGAATCACCGTAAAAAAAATCAATACCTTTTCTGTACGCCAATAATGAACCAACTGAGAAAGCAATCAGAAACACACATTCACGATTGCTTCCAAAAAAATTAAAAGCTCAGGAATAAGTCTTTCACCAACAGAGTGAAAGAATTCTACCATGAAAATTTCAAAATGCTGAAGAAATAAATTGAAGATGATGCTAGAAAATGTAAAAACCTTCCATACTGATGAATTGGCACAATTAATACTATTAAATATAACCACATTGCCAAAATCTACAGATTCAGTAAAATCCCCATCAAAATGCCAATGAATGTTTTCACAGAACTAAAGAGAACAACTCTACAATTCATGTGGAAACACAAAGATCCAGAGAAGCCAAAATAATAGAGCAAAAAAGAACCGAGCTAGAGGTATCACAATGTAGTACAATATAGTACAAAGCCATAGTAATAAAACACTATGGCTCTGACACAAATTTAGATACATAGACCAGAAGCACAGAAATAACCCATGCAACTGTGACTTTCAGACTGAGCTACATCCTGGGCCATTTTTTTATTTTTATTTTTTATTAGAGACAGGATTTCTTTAAGTCACTGAGTTGCTCAGTCTGGAGTTGAACTTGTAATCCTCCTGCCTCAGCCTTCCAGAGCACTGGGACATAGGCATGTACCACAGTACCATTCCCATCTGATTCTTCACAAAGGGACCAAAAACATACACTGATGTAAAGACCAACTCTTTACCAGTGATGCTGTGAAACTGGAGATCCACACTTTGAAGACTGAATGTAGATTCCCATCTCTCATCTCATGCAAAAATCAATTCAAAATGCATCCAGGATCTTACTATAAGAAATGAAACATCGAAACTTCTGGAAGAAAACATAAGAAAAACAGTTGAAGTCATAGACACAGGCACAGGTTTCCAGAACAGAACCCCACTGGCACAGGAAACTATAGCAAGAATCGAAAAATGGAATTAAATCAAAGTAAGCCTCTGTACAGCAAAACAAGTAATCAACAGCGTAAAGAGAAAACCTACACAGTGGGAGAAAGTCTTTCCTATCTCCTCTCTGACAGAGTAAATAACTCAAGGAATTTATCATCAGGTAAAATAAAATAAAAAACTCAGTGAGTCAATGGGCAAATAAGTTGAACAGACCCATCTCGAAAGTTGTACAAATGGCCAGCACGTGTCTTAAAAAACATTCACCAGAGAAACGCAAGTCAAAACCACAGCAAAACTCCCCCTCACCCCAGTCAGAATGAGGATCATCAGCAATACAAAAAATAATAAATGCTGATGTGGATACAGGGGCAAAGATCTCTTCTACACATTCTGGAAGTATAAACAAGTACAGCCACTTTGGAAATCAGGATGGAGATTTCTCAAAAAGCACCACCAACAAAAACCAGGGCTCCTGTTTGATCTGGCTGTACCTGTGCTCCCCGTGGTCTGGAGGTCTGTGCACTAGGGCAGTAACTGTTTCCTGGAGCACAGTTCACAGTAGCTCAGCGGTGGGAACAGTCTTCGTGCCTGTTAGCGGTCAGCAGGCAGAGAAAGTGAGGGTGACACACACAGTGGGAAATTAGCCACCAAAAAGAGTAAAATGAAGCTGTTTTCTGAACAATGGATTCAACTGGACAGCACTGTGTTACGTGGTATACACCAGACTCTGAAAGTCCATTACTGCATGTTTTCTCTCCTATGAGGAATCTAGAAATTTTTTTTAAAGAGAGATGACATGAAAGTAGCAGGGTAGGGGCTGGGGATTTAGCTCAACAGCATAAGTGCCTGCCTTGCAAGCAAGCAGTCGTGAGTTCGATCCCTGGTATGGAGAAAGAAAGAAAGAAAGAAAGAAAGAAAGAAAGAAAGAAAGAAAGAAAGAAAGAAAGAAAGAAAGAAAGAAAGAGAGAGAGAGAGAGAGAGAGAGAGAGAGAAAGAAAGAAAGAAAGAAAGAAAGAAAGAAAGAAAGAAAGAAAGAAAGAAAGAAAGAAAGAAAGAGAAAGAAAGAAAGAAAGAAAGAAGCAGGGTAGAGAAAAGGAAGGGAAGAAGCAGGGGCAGGAAGAAGGCAGAGGGGATAACGGGAAATGATCAGAGCTCACACACACGGATGCACTGCTCTGTGTAGCTCACACTCACCACAGCAGGAAGCTGTGGGACCACTGGGGCCACACCCTGGGGACCCTTGGCGTCTTGGTCCCCTCTGTTCCCCCATTTACCCCTGAGAACTCACCGCCCAGCTGCGCGGGGTACTTGGGTTTCCCACGGTCCCTGTCCCCTACCCCGTTCTGACTGGGGCTGCCCTCCCGTCTTCTTTCCTCGGCCTGTGCGTGCTGTGAATTTTCACCTGAAACTAGAAAAATTCAAGGAAGAAGAATCTGAAGAGAAAAATGTTTTTATCATGCTTGATTTTTGAGTTACGCGATGTTGCAATAATGCAACACGAGCCACAAGTGGACCGCCCTGCTCACTGAGCCACACTGCCCCAGCCTCCAGGGACCCTGTGTTCACACCTCAGGTTCCCCCGGCCGGCCAGGGCCAATCCCCCAGGACATCTGAGGCTGAGAAACCCGGGCAGAGGGAGCTGTGGCTCTGTTCGCCTTGTTGTGTGTCCCTCTCAGTGGGATCCCATGTAGAAAGAAGAGGCTGCTCCTCAGGAACCTGGGAGTGGGAAGTTCCCCTATGTGGTAACTGAGCTCTCTCGCCCCATTCCTGACTTCCGGCGGGCCTTCCCCTCAGTCCGGTGACAGCAAGGCCCCCAGATCCTCATCCCCAAAGATGTGCTTCCCCTCCACACGCCCTTCTGTCTCTGCTCCCCACCCCGCGACTCTCCTGACTCTCCGGCTCCGAGATGCTGTGGCTGCTGCTGCTGCCCCTGCTGTGGGAAGGTGAGTGGGCCTAGGGAAAGGGGTTGTGGGCAGCCCAGTGCTGACCTTCCTTTCCCACAGGGTCCCTGGCTGCTCATACTCCAGGATTCCAACTGACAGTGCCAGAGTCCGTGGCGGTGCAGGAGGGACAGAACATCTCCATACCCTGCAATGTCTCCTACCCCATGAAAGAGTGGAACAGTTCTACTCCAGCTCTGGGCTACTGGTTCAAGAAAGGGGCGAATGTTCACCAGGATCCTCCAGTGGCCACCAATGACCAGCACCGTCCAGTGTTGAAAGAGACAAGGGGACGATTCCTTCTGCTTGGAGACCCCAGGACCTGCAACTGCTCCCTGCACATCAGAGACGCACAGAACAGGGACACAGGCGTCTACTTCTTCAGGATGGAGCGAGGCCGTTACGTGCGATATAGTTACATACAGGACCAACTCTGTGTCTCTGTGATGGGTAAAAAATGAGGACCAGAAGGCCACAAGATGGGGCCTGAGGGGCCCATGGGAGTGTGGGGATGGGACCCCCTGCTTCTCATGCTGGGGGACCCAGGGAACAGCACTCTAGGCCTGGTTGGGGCTCGGCTGGCCTGAGGTACAAGTGGCTCTGAGGACCACACCTGAAGTCCCCTCCAGGGCTTGAATGTCTGTGTCTCTCCTCTCCAGCTCTAACAGAGACCCCTACCATCCGCATCTCAGGGACCCTGGAATCTGGTCACCCTGGGAGCATAACCTGTGAAATGCCGTGGCCTTGTGAGCAGAGGACGCCCCCCACCTTCTCCTGGATTGGAGAGAATCTCACTGGTACACTGGGCCCCAAGACTCCCCGCTCTTCTGTGCTCACTATCACCCCACAGCCACAGGACCATGGCACCAACCTCACCTGCCAAGTGACTTTCCCTGGAGCTGCTGTGACAGTGCACAAGACTGTCCAGCTCAACGTGTCCTGTGAGTGCCAGCCAGCATGCCTGGAGCCCGGGGAGGAGAGGGACAGAGGAAGCAGGACCTGGGGAGGAAGGAAAGAGGACCCCTAACCCCACTGACCTCCTGTTCCTAAAGTGTCTGTGGGGAAATCACTGACACCCACCTTCCTGCCACTAAGAAGGGAATAATCTTGTCTGTCTGCCCAGATGCTCCACGGAACATGACCATCCAGGTGTTCCAGGGAAACGGCACAGGTAAGACACAGCCTGTCCTTCCCTGAGGCAGGGGTGCGGAGGAACTCGGACAGGGGCAGGGTGCACAGAGCTGTGAGGATGGGATCCCTGCACCCGCTCGTCACTCTAACACTCCCCGCTCTCATAGCCGGGTATCACATGGCCCTTGCTTTCGCTTAAGAGGCAGATATGACTGCCACCAGCAGGGAGGTTGGCTTCCCTCCCTGTCCCCCTCATGTCCCTACACAGTAGACAAAGACGAGCTGAGTCCTCTGATGTCTCCCTGTTGTGAAGACTCCAATCCCATCGTGCACGCTTCACCCTCATGCCCTTGTCCAGCCCTAAACTGCCCAATGACCCCATGTCCAGTACGGTCACATAGGGAGTTTGGGACTTAACATATGAATTTAAGGGAAATACACTTTGGTTTTCAGCAAAAGTTAGTGAGAATAAGACTGTACTCGGGCCCTGTGTTTTCCCTTTCTGGCTACCCTCCACATGTGACCCATGCATGTGTGACAGGTGTGCACACACACTCACACCCCTCTCCACATGCCCCGCTTCACATCTGTGGTACTTTCACTTGTTTACTTATTTTGTGGTGATGAAACCAAGATTTCCTCTACCACTGGGCTACATCACCAGACCTTTTATTATTTTAAGTAAATTTTGCATTTTGTAGCAATTTTAGATGGACAGAGAAGTTTTAAAGAGGATACAGGAAGTTTCCATAAATCCCTCTTTCAGTGTCCCTTGTTGTCATAATCTGATGTTGAGAAAGTTCTGGTGGTACATTATTGTGACTTAGACTAATTTTTTTCTCAGTCTATCCAGAGATATTTCTGTATCTGTATACTGGAAAATTTCCCACAAATTAATGATTTGATGGCTTTCCAAGTATATATATATATATATATGATGTCATAAAGTGTAAACCGGGTTTCCATTGGTAGAAAATGAATGTTTCTTATCTTTTTTGACACAAATATAACCAAAATATGTTATTTACATGAACATTCTCCATGATTTTCCATAGGAGGAAATTCGGGATCAAAGGATATATTTGCATGGATGTCATCATATTTATAGATATCATAATTGTAATGAAGATTTCCAAATTGCACTGAGCAGAGTCCGTGTTTCTTACACTCCCCTGAGAAGTGCACTCTTTGCTGCTGATATCACAAGTGAACTCACTGTCATTTTAATTCGCATTACCATTTTGTGACCAGGCTGAGGGTCTTTCATTATGTTTACCAACCAATTGTACTTCTTTGCATGCATTTGCCAGATGAAGATCTTTTCCTGTCAGGGAAGCCAGCTGTTTTTTATATGAGAGGATTTACTTCCCCCCACTTTTGGCTTAGTATGTGAGGACACTCAGGCAGAAGCACACGCTCCATTTAGGGGTGCCCTGGCAGGGACTTTCCCTGCTTGGCAAAGGTCTAGAGCTCCTGTTTTCCCTAACCAGCTCCTACCTGTTCTTCATCTTCTTCTTAAGCCCACTCCTCCAGGCAGCCCTTCTGTCCTGGCGATCTCATTGGCTTCTCAGCACACCCTCCACCCCACTTACCTCCACTGCAAAACATGAGGCAGTGTTTTGTGGGTCCCTGCTGCTGGGGGTCTTGCTTGCACCACTGTGAACTCCTCGGACACAGCTAAATGAGGCAGGCTCAGTGTACTGTAGCTGAGACTAAAGGGCAAACTCTAAAGGCAAACTTGGCATCAGAGCAGGCACGGATGGCCGGGCAGTTTGGCTGACCACATGCGGGTCCTCACAGAGACAGGGCTGCTATTTCTCATGCTCTCTGCTGGGGGCCAAATCAAATAGTATGCACCTGTGAAGCAATAGAAGAGAATGTCACATGTGATGCAGAGATGGGAAAGACCAAGTGCCTCGTGCAGGCCTTGACTCAGACTTCCCTCTGTCTCTCCAGGACCTAAGGCCCTGTCTAATGGTTCATGGTTCCATGTTCAAGAGGGCCAGACTCTGCACTTGGTGTGTGCTGTGGACAGCAACCCACCTGCCACGCTGAGCTGGACCCGGGGGAGCCTGATCTTGCAGCACTCCCAGCAAGCACACCATGGGGTTCTGGAGCTGCCTCTGGTGGAACCGGAGGACGACGGGAAATACGTGTGCAGAGCTCAGCACCGTCTGGGCTCTCTGAGAGTGTCTGTGAGCCTTTTTGTGAGGAGTGAGTTGGCAGGCACTAGGGGCAGGGCACCTGGGTCCCTGCTAGACGGGAGCCCCGCTGATCCCTCTCTTCTTCCCACCAGGCTCCCTCCAGCTGCTGGGGCCCTGGTGCTCCTGGGAGACTGAGGGTCTGCACTGCAGCTGCTCCTCCCATGCCTGGCCGGCTCCTTCCCTGGGTTGGTGGCTCGGGGAGAGGCTGCTGGAGGGGAACATCAGCAACGCCTCCCTCACGGTCTCCACCAGCTCAGCCGGGTCCTGGACCAACATCTCCCTGAGCCTCAGAGAGGAGCTGTGCTCCAGCCTTAAGCTCAGCTGCCAGGCCTGGAATCCCCATGGAACCCAGAGTGTCACTGTCCTGCTGCTGCCAGGTCAGGAATTTATGAAGAGCATGACCTGGCGAAAGGGGAAATTCTAGTCTGGATCCTAGAAGACTCTGGGGAAGAGAAAAATGGGCCTGACTTGTGATAAAGCGGCTAGAAATCAGGGTCCTCTGTCCTTTGATTGGGGTTGGGGCCGGGGGCACAGGAAGCTGCTGTCACATAGATGGGAAGGAAGGTACCCATCCTGGAAAAGAGTGGGCATTCTTGTGGGTCATGGATGAAGGAGCCTGGAGTTCACGCCAGATCTCTCATCTGCAGAGAAACCAGGACCCAGGACAGGAGCAGTTCAGGGAGCCATTGGGGGAGCTGGTGTCGTGGTCCTGCTTGCCGTGTGTCTCTGCTTCATCTTTTTCATGTGAGTGGTCCCCATGCTTTGGTCGGTGGTGGTGACGTGTGGTGGTACACAGCTCAAACATCCTGCAAAACTCAAATCCCAGAGCTGAGGCCACCTGCTGAGATGATAAGGACAAGGAAGAGTGCAGTGAGAGCTTAGCCTTCTGCCACCGTGGCCAGATGCAGGGCTCATTTCCAACACCTGGTTCCTGATGCCCAGAAGGAGGGAGTGTCTGTCCTTCTCACAGTCTCTGAGCCCACACCAGAGCCCTCATGTATTGCTGGGCTCCTAACAGCAAGCCAGCCAGGCTTGAGGGCCCTGGTCTCTTTCTCCAGGGTGAAGACCTACAGGCAGAAACTGTCAGTAAGGCATGCAAGTGGGGATGTCACTCATCCTGTGACGAGCACCGTCTTCCTGGTGAGTGAGGCACACCTCTTTCCACCTAGGGTCCCAGCTGGGTGCTGCCCTGAGGTGACCACAACAGCTCATGCAACATGCCCAAAACTGAGCTATTTCCCCCAGAATGTCTTCCTCCCCCCAGATTTCTTGCAGCAGCCTCAGGCTGAGTACCTGGGAGTCGCCCATTCTCCATCTCCTGCTCCATCCCCCACTGTGGGAGACACTCCAGTGACTTCCCTTGAATGCAAAACAGTTACTGTGACTTTGATTATTTGGAGAATATGACTTTTTTGTATTGTGAGGAAAACTAGAAAGAAGATTACAATACTCGGATGACTGAACTCGGTATTTGGGATTACAATATCCTACAGCCAGTGATTTACCCAGGCCTGTCCATTTTTCTTTCTAGCAAAGCTTTTCTCAATATAACCCATTCCTGCCAAGCCCTCATGTCTCTCGCTTGTGCCGTGGTCTGGGTCCGTCCTCCACAGCTCTGTCTGTCTTCCTTGGAATCAGCTTGTAGAAAGGGGTACCTAGAGCGCCCCTCTGCTTCCTCTGCACCATCCTGACCAGCCCAATAGAAAACCAGGGACTTGAGACGCAGGTCCGTGATTGGCTATTCGGGCTTAGCTTGCCTGAGGCCCTGGATTCAGTCCTTAGCACCACGCACACACAAAGTCAGCCGTGTAGCTGTTATGTCCTGTGGATGGGACATACACTTTTCTAGTAGCCACATTTAAAATGTACGAGGATCCCTGTGAGATCAATTTCAACAGAACATTTTATTGCATCTGATGCATCCAAAGTGTTATGATTCTAATATTATCAATAATCATTATGCAAATGAATATCCTACTGTCACCTTTTTGTAAAAGTTTTGGTTACTAAATCTTCAGTGTTTTTTAGACTCACGGCACAGCTCTACTGTGCTTACTTAACAAACACACGGGCCTAATAGCTACCATATCTGACAGCAAAGGCTGAGAGGATGAAGTCCAGACTCCTCCCAACCTAGTGAGCCTTTTGCCCTCTGATTCTGTAGCTCTGTGGGCAGTTTCCACTTCCCATGATATCCACCCTGGCGTGACCCCGGGATGATCTTTCACACTACGCTTAAAAAAGGCCCTGCCCTCTGCAGGGCAAAGACTCATCAGGCTTCCTAGAATCGTCACAGCCCTGGGCCACCACAGCTCTCACCCACTGCGCCTGCTTCTGCCCATTAAATCACAATGCCCTACGCATATGGCAGTTGCTTTTCTTCCTCCTCTCCCCCTCCCCCTCTCTTTCCCTCCCCCCCCCTCTGTCTTTTTTGGACAGTGTAATGCTTCTCCTCGCCCTGAGAGACAGCCTAAGGTTGGAGCCTGTGAGCTAAAAGTGTTACCTAACCTTGCTCAGTCTGGTTTTATACCTGAAAAGTAGAGTAGCATTCATCAGAAAGTTGTAGGAATTCAGGTATGGGCCATTATTAAACCTGTGAGGGCAGGGTGGGGGTATAAATCAGTGTTACAGTGCTTGTGCAAGGCCCAGAGTTTAATTTTAGTACTGCAAACAAAAAGAATTTTAAAATGTTAAAGGTAGCTGAGTGTAGCCATACTAAATCCCAGCACCACAATCCCAGCGCTGCGGGAAGCTGAGGCAGGAGGATGGACAATTGGAGCCCAGGCTGGGCAACTTAGTGAGACTCTGTCTCCAAATAAAAATAAAAGGGCTGAGAATCCAGCTCAGAGAGAAGGCACTGGGTTCAGCCCTCAGTAGTGCCAACAAACCCCAACCATCACCACCACCACAGAATAATTCTAAAGGTACAAATAAATGTAAATAAGTGAGTGAAAGCATGAATGACTGAACACTTGGGGAGCAGGTATGAGGCAGATGGGTGAATTAAGTCCCCTTCAAGCCCAAGTTCCCTGGAAAGATCCTTGCGCTCACTCCTTCTTCTATCTCATGTCACGTCTTCAGGGTCACCTGAACGCATCCACGTCCTTGGCAGACAGCGCCGTAGGGGATGCCCCAGCCCACCCCACCGCTGAAGCTGCAGGGGAGGAGCAGGAGCCCCATTACGCCTCCCTCATCTTCCAGGGACTGAGGCCCTGGAAGCCTCAGGTCCAGGAGGACTCCAGCACCACGGTGTACTCAGAGATCCGGGTCCAGAAGTGACAGCGCCGTCCTCCCGGGCCAGCTCTGGCTGGGGCCCCGAAGAGACCAGACTGAAGGATGTGTGTATCCTAGGCGGGTGCTTGGGGTCAGCAGCCCTCGGAATCAGGAGCTGTGAGTCAGAAGGCACAGTTCCTTAACTGGCTGGAAGTCACCTGGTAGTGACCTTCAAGTCATTTGGAAGGTCAAACCCAGACTCTGTCACCTCGGGCAAGTGACTCTACCTTCCTATACCTCCCTTCCTCCTCTGTAAAATACAGATGATGTTCATTAGGCACCTCAAGTGAGAAAACGGCACAATGCGTATTGTTAAGTATGCTGTATGTGAATAACTCGTGGCAATGTCTACTCAGCAGAATGAGGGAGTTGTATTTTTCTGACTCTATGACACAATTTGCGGTTTTTGCTTGACCATTTTTAAGAGCATATATTATTTCAAAAAATAAAACTTGCCCAGCATGTAGCTCAGCAGCATAAACACCTGCTTGGCAACTGCGAGGCCGTGAATTCTAAATCCGGTCCCAAAAGTAAATAAATAAATAAAAAATAAAAGTAAAATATAAATAAAAAACCTTGTTGGTATAGAAGCCATGTCTCAACACATTTATCTAACAAAGGACTCATATCTGGAATGCATAAATAATATATAAATGTCTCCCAAAGATCAGTAAGAAAAAATAGGCAACCCCAAAATTTGAGATATGCAAATGGCCAATGAAGATACAGAATAGTATTTCACTTTAACAGCTGTCAAGGAAATTTAAATAAAAACCGTAATGCTGCACTACTACCAAATTGGCTAAAATAAACAGTTTTAATGATATCCAGTTGTTAGCAAGTTCACAGAGCCTTAGAGCTCTGACAAAGTGTTGGCGGGGGCAGGGGATAGATAGCCAGTAAGAAAACTGTCACTCTACTAACACTGAGCATCTGAGCCAGCAATTGTGCACCTAATTGCACACCCAAAGAAAGCACATACAGATGTTCATCAGCTCCAGAAGGAACCTTCATAGCAGCTCTAATTGGAACGGCTGAAAATGATACCCATCCAGTTCCCTTCAGGCAAATATACTGCACAATATTCATGTAGCTAAAGAAGCAAATAATAACCTCACATATAGTTATGAGTATTGAAAACATAATTTGTGGTGAAAGGACCCAGAAACAAACAAAAAACACCGTGCTACATGCCGTCTTTAGGAACAGGAAAACTACTCTTTGGGATTAGAGGTCAGCTGCTGATGACCATTGTAAATTGATTGTGCCAGGAAAGGGGAAGTAGAGATTTTCTAGGGGTCCCTGTAAGTATCTGTTCTTTGTCTGAGTACTAACTGCTCATGTACATGATATAAAAAGACATTTTAATAAAACACTTGTTTTTGTTTTTGTTTGTTTTGTCCTGAGAATCAAATTCAGAATCTCACATTGCCAGGAGTAAAACACTTGTGATTTGTGCCCTTTTTTATATGAATATGACTGTAATAAAATTCACATTAATATTTTCAAAATGTCATCTGTGGATGTACAGTCACGCACTATACAAAAAACATTTCAGTCAGTGATGGATCACGCATATGATGGTTAATACCATGAACCTGGGGTATATTGTTCAAGATTGCGTGAGTTCATTCTGTGGCATTTGCACAGTGACAAAATGGCCTAACCACGCGTTTCTCAGAATGTAGGGAGCCATCGAAGCTGGCAATTGATCACATGTGTGGGGCTAAACAAGGCCAGCCTAAAAAAAAGAGACCAAAACAAGCTATGTAAACAAGCTTTTCCAGCACCAAGAAGAGACAGGGCTCGGGCCAGCCAGGCAAACAAGTTGCTAGCAGTGGGGTTGAAATTGGCATTCTTCTCTGGAGGATATAAATAACCATGCTGCACTGGTTGAGCAGATCCTTTCCTCCCATTAGGAGGATGAAGGCTCCACCTGACCCCAGCTCTGTCTCTTCTTTATTTTTCTCATCCTCTCTCGGTCCTTAACCCCAAGAACTTCAGAAGCCACATTGGGTCATGGCATCAGAATACGTTCCCAAGCTGTGAGCCCCTGCTGGACAGTGATGGTGCTGTGTCCAGCTTGGTATTTTGAGGGTGCGACATTGGACACACCTCCAGTGTACTCAGCAATCTTCAAAATGACCTGAGTGGAAGTCAGGTGGAGAAGCCTGGTTAGTCTCTGCTGAGGCTTCCCAGCATGCATTGCCAGCCCGTATCTCTCCCCTGGGTCCTCAGTCTCCCTGTTCTCCTGGACATCTCTCCCTGAACATTTCTCCCTGCATGACCCACAGGCTCCACATCCTCTACACTTTACAGACTGCTCCTGAAGCTTGAGTCTCCTTCCAGTCCTCCATCCAGGGATGTGAAGATCTCCATCTGTTACCATGGCACCTGGTACCCATGCCTGGCTGTCTTAGTCTGAGTTACCGTATCAAAATGCTATGAATGGCACAGCTTGTAAACAATAGAAATGTATTTCCCATGGTTCTGGAGGCTGGGAAATCTAGTTACCAACAGACCTGGTGTCTGACAGGGCTGGCTTTCTAGTGCATGGATGGTGCCTTCTTGGGACCTGTAAATCGAAGAATGGTAACAAGGAGCTCTTTGAGGTCCCCTTCATAAAGGGCACTAATTGCATTCACCAGAGCTCCCCCTTCATGAGCCAATCACCTTCCAAAGACCCGGTCTCCACAATCATCACTTTACAGGTTAGGGGTTCAAATATGCAGTTTGGAAGGACACAGTACCGGGTTATAGCTCTGGGCAGTGGGAACACAACAGTTTTGCATGTAGTTCTAACCTCCAGACATGATTTCTGTCCTGACACAGGATCTTGTGAAACAGGTCTCGTCCTTCCCTCCTCCAACCTCTCATTTCCCATTTTAGGGTCCTCTCTGCCTGTTCCTGGAAGGGGGTCACTGAACCATTTTCTGAGTTTGCTCCTCCCCATCCTGTTCCCCTGTGACTATGATCTCCCACAACCTCCCCACAGCCCCAGTGTAAAGTTCCTCAAGTTCTAACCACAAAGTTCTCCCCTCAGGAGTCTCCCTCAGCTCCTTCCTACCACCTAGCACCCTGCGAAGACTGTAAAATTTTTCTTCTCAGATCCTGTTCATCTCTCAGCTTTCCATGCTGGAGCTAGAGACCAGATAAAGTGTCTTAGTCAAAGCAACGGAAATCAGCAATTCACCACTTTCCTCTTGTAGTAGCTGAAAGTTGGAAGCATCCCAAATGCCTATCACCTGATGGATAAATGGATTTCTGGCTTGTGAAGGACCATCCAGCCTTAAAAAATGAGCAAAATGTTATTCTGCAACATGGAAGAACCTCAAGAGTATGATGCTATGTAAGAGAAGCCAGATGGCGATGCTTACGTGTTGTATGGCTCTGGTTTATGTGGAATGTCCAGAATAAGCAAGTCTCTGGGAGCATAAAATCATTTGGTGGCCGGTTGGTTCTAGGGGAGAAGGAAATGGGCAATGACTGCTTAGTGGGTTGAAGGTCTCCTTTGGGGGCTATAAAAATGTTTTGTGACCACATAGAGGTGATAGTGGCATAACTGTGAATGCACTAAATGCTACTGAACTGTTTGCTTTGGAACGTTTTATTTTATATTATGCAAATTGTATCTCAAATTAAAAAATAACATACTCTCTGAAGTCAGATCTCTAAGTATCAAATACCTGATTCACAGCTCAATCTCTTGCTACTTCTGATTTGTCCATAAGATGGGGATAATAATGCTGCTCAGAACTCTGGTTTGTCTTGGGGATTCAGGGCATTAACACTGCAGTAAACTTGGCACAGTGTTTGGGCACAGTGAGCCCCCATCCGTGGTCAGCCTGGGGTGCTGGGCACAGTGCACTGACCAAGGGCAGCATTCACTGTGCATTCAAATGCTGTCAAAGTGGTAGGTTTGCTAAGTGACCTCTAGGTTTTGGATATTGGCTTTGCACTCATACCCGTACCCTCATGCATGTTCTGTGACCACAGGGGTAAGGGGAAGATGTGGATGTATGAGATGGCAAAGGAGAAGCACACAGCCTATCTCACATAGCCGAGACCAGAATTCTGTTTCACTTCTCCCTTCCCCCTCAATGCCCACGCCTGCGAGTCACCAAGTTCCTCCTCTGCCCCTTCCTACCCATCCCCAAGTCTTGACTTCACTCCCACAAACCATAGCAACAGCCTCCTGCCCGCTCTCTTACCCTTCTAGCCTGTCACCCACATCTCCAGAGATGTGAACTTCCAAAGGCATCCTCCAACCCCTGCCCTTCCCAGGTTACATATCCATCAGGGTGAGCTGCTCCAGACCTCCCACAGTATCACCCTTGACCCTCATGCCCTTTCAGCCACCAACCACATGCTCCTCAGCCACCTCCCTGCCACTTCCTAAAGACCTCATGAGCCGTTGTACCTCTTCATGTTCCATTTATGCAACCCCATATCACCTCAAGGTTCTCTCTTTCTCCATCCCTGAAGCTCACATCCCTCAAGCAAGCTACCCCCTTGCCCCCCAACACCTCCACTTTCCCATGGGTTGCCTTGGAGCAGAGCATGTCGGTCTCAAGGCTGTTTGCATGGGGGCACTCGGGACTGGGTGACTGTTTGGTGTGGGAGTCGTCCTTTGCATTGTAAGACATTGAGTAACGTCCCTGGGTCCCACACACAAGATGCCAGAAGTTTCCCTCACCCACTGTGACAACTAGAAATGTCTTCAGATTGCACCGGATGCAGAAAAACCCACACTGGGACCCAGAACCTCCTGTCCCTGTGCCCACTCAGTAATGAGCAGGAGGACAAATTTTCTCTAGCTTTCCCTCTCCAAGTCGCCAAAAACACACTTAGTTCACTCTTTTCTGTTTTCAAAACAGTTAAGAGCATTCTGGTTCCATGTTATCACATATATAAAGGACATCTTGGGAAATTCCTGAATTTTTTCCCCACTGTTTCATTGTCTTCCATACTTCTACTGCACCCCTAGTGCATGCCTCACCCTGGAATATAATAAAGACTGGAGTAGATGCCAGGAAAGGTGGTACAGACCCGTAATCCCAAAGCTCCAGGAGGCTGAGGCAAGAGGATGACAAGTTCAAGTCCAGCCTGGACAATTAGCTACTTAGTGAACCCCTGTCTCACAATTTAAAATAATAAAAAGGTAGGAAATGTAGCTCAGGGTGAAGCCCTCATGTTGAATCTCCAACAGTGAAAATCAGCGAAATTAAAAGCTGGATCTTTGAAAAGATGAACAAATTTGACCAACTTTTGGCTAGATGATTAAGAAAATAACTACAATTATGACAATCAGAAACAAAAATTAGGGCATTCATACTGATTATAGAGACACAAAAAAGCAAGATTTTAAGAGATAACTGCAAGCAGTTGTACATGAATGAATCAGATAATCTAAACCATTGGCCGAATTCCTAGAAACAATCAACCTACCAAGACTGAGTCATGAAGAGATCTGAACAGACTTATAACTGGTAAGGAGATTGAACTGGTAATTAAAAAAAGAAGAAAAACTCATCAAGCAAATGGCTTCACTGGTAAATTCTACTCAACATTTAAAGAGGAATTAACATTAATCCTTCTTAAATTCTTCCATAAGCTTTCAGAGAAAGGAACACCTAGCTCATTTCAGAAGGCCAGCATTAACTCTGAGATAAATGCCAAAGGCACTACAAGAAAATAAAACTACAAACCAGGAACTCTTACTAATGTTAGTACAAACATCCTCCACAAAATAGTTCCTAACTGAATTCAGAAGGTAATTCATGACCAGTGGAATTTATTCCTAAAATGTAAGATGGTTCAATGTATGCAAATCAGTTGCAGGGCTGGGAATATAGCTCAGCAGGGACAGCACATGCCTGGCAAACGCAAGGTCCTGCGTTCGATTCCTGGTACCAAAACAAAACAAAAAGGAAATACAGAAAATCAATTACAATATGCCATATTAGTAGAAGGAAGGAAAAAACTTGCATGATTATCTTAGTTGGTACAGACAAGGCAGCTAACAAAATTCAACATCCTTTCACGATAAAAGCACGCAACAAATTAGGATAGAAGAAAATTGCTTCAACAGGAGAACGTTTGTGTATGGAAAAGACTACAGCTGGTTTATCTTACTCAATAGTGAAAGACTAAAATCTTTTCCTCTAAGCCCAGGAACAAGACAAAGACAGCTGCTTTTGCCATTTCTTTTCAGCGTAGTATTGGAAGTTCTGGCCACATCGAATAGGCAAGGAAAATAAACAAGAAGCTTGAACTGGAAAGGAAGAAACAATGCCCTCTGGTCACTGATAAGATCGTGGATGTGATTGGTTGGGAAAGGCCCGTCACCACTGATTGGCTGACGGCACCCTGG